AAGTTGGCTGACTTCTCACCATGACCGGTCCCCGGTTCTCAATGTTGAAGCCACTTAGGCAGGCTGACAAACGGCTTATAAACCACATATGAAGCCACTTAAGCAGCTCACATTTTGGTCATCCGGATAGGTTGGACCTGGCGCTGCTGGCGCTGGGGGTCTTCGCCCTGGCCACCTGTGAGGCCTTGGGTCGCCTGGCGGTGCTGCGGCACAGCGACCCGGTGACCTGTGCCGCGCTGGACGCGGGGCTCACCCCCCTCAGCGCCTCAGTCTTGGAAACCGGAAGGTCTTTGGCCCCTTTGGGGTGGTTTGGCCTTCTGGAATTTGTGCGTTTTATTTGGTTTGTATGTTGTTTTGTGCTTTTTTGGGGGAAGGTTGTTGGCTGTTGTGGTTTTGTTGGTTAGTTGGTGGGGTTGGGATTGGGTGTTGTTTCTATTCGATGTGTGTTTTCGTCGGATTGTCGGTCAGGATTGTTGTTCTTATTCGCAGTTTGTTTGGTCGGGTTGGGCTGTTGGTTTGTTCTTGTGGTTGTGGGGTTTATCGGGTTTGGGATGGGAGTGGTGATTGTTCGGGGTTTGTCCCTTTTGCGTCATCATGCAACTGGGTGGGCTTTTGGCCGGGTACTTCAACTTTCAAGACTCCTTTGAGCGGGGTTCAACTGCTTAGCCGCTAGCGGGATTTTATTATAAACCTGCTTGGCTCGGCAGGGTCTGTCAGGATACGCTCATCTTTCACGCATATGTCCATGAACGCAGGCACATGGACTTGGCGGTTTGGTAGTCCGCCTGTTGCGTTTCTTGTTATATTGTTCTCACCGGAGAACCAAGAACCAAGTGACCGACCCAGCGACCTGGCAACCAACGAAACATGAAAACCGTTCAACCAAATTCGCAAAGAAGTAACTTCCATTTGCTTAAGATATTTTGTCCCTGTTGGTTTTAAAGGGAATCTATCACTACTGGACATATTTGCTTTTTTTTGTCCAGGGGTCTTCACCAAATGGAAGGTAAGCAAGCTGAAAAGCAAACCACCAAGCCCAGGCACCGTCATGGCCTTCAGCACAGCGGTGGCCCACCAACGACGCCAGCCCGTGGCAGCTCGGCAAAAAGCTTGGGGTGGGGCGAATTGGGCCGCGGCGGGCCCGAGCCAGGGCGCTTCCGGTGCGTGAGGTTGGCTTCCGAAATAAGATTTGTCGATGAAGATCCTTTGCTTGGTTCCTGGATGAAATTTGAACATAAGAGTAGCTTGCCCAAATTAAGTAATATGGGCAGGGGCTGACGTGGCACAGGATCAAAGCGAGCTAAACCCGTGTTTGTGTGGGGTCAATTCTATCCGAGGTTTTTCAACCTCGCCCATGATGATTTAATTATTGTAGGTCTATGATGTGTGTTTGCTTTAGTTTGGTCGGTCATTTTTTCAATAATTCACACAGACGTGTGAAGAGAACCAAACATAATTGGGCAAAGCGTTTCATTTGCCCACTTCACAAATCATATGAGTTCAATTTTCAGCATGCAATCCAACCATTGGGCCAGTCGGACTTCAGGGAGTGTAACGAATTACCCTCAACAATCATGGAACCTGACATCCGGGTTTTGGAGGAGTCCTTGCAAGCCCCAAAATGTCCTCCCTTGAATCGACTTTGTCTGCCAGCGTTGCTGATAGAGAAATCTTTTTTGGGGCATGAAACGAGCTTAAGCACGACGAACATGTTTTGCCAGAGAGTTCCCTTTAGCTCACTGTTTAGTACCCTAGTAGTTTGGCCACATCGCTGTTTCTTATTCTGCGCCAGGAGGTTTTGGCCCTGATCTTACTGCTCTTCAGCTTTCTGGTACAGCATCGGCTCACACACCACTGCAAAGCTCAGGCGCCCCGGGTGCAGGGTTTGGCATTGGACTCTCTGCTTTGTAAATCGAGTTGGATCGGGTCCCTAAAGTATTTGGAAGCCTCTTGGAGGATTGCACCAAAAACTGGAATGGGGTGTCAAACAGCCAACACCGCGCCTGAGTCCGTATGCGTTTGTGTGTGTGTGCGCGAGCGTGCGTGCGCGCCTGCTTGAGTCTGTGTGTCTCTGTGTGGGAATGTTAGTGTTTCTGTTTGTTGTTGCAAGTTGGTGTGTGTGTGTGTGTGTGTGTGTGTGTGTGTGTGTGTGTGTGTGTGTGTATGTGTGTGTGTGTGTGTGTGTGTGCGTCTATGTTTTGTATTTGTGAGTTTGAGTTCATTTCTGTGCTTGTGGTTGTTTGTTTGCTTTTTTGTTTGTTTGCTTGCTTGCTTGTTTGCTTGTTTGCTTGTTTGTTTGCTTGCTTGTTTGCTTGTGTGTTTGTTTGTTTGTTTGTTTGTTTGTTTGTTTGTTTGTTTGTTTGTTTTGCTTGCTTGTTTGTTTGCATGCTTGCTTGTTTGTTGGTTTTGTGTTTGCCCTGCCCTTCCAGGACCTCGCTAAGCTAGGTCTTTACCCACGAAACCGTGATAAACCTCGATTACCACAAGCATCTTAATCGAATTTTCTTGGAAGCATTGCTGGCGTGTTTTCCCGGGGTATCCAGCGTGATCCTTGCGTAATTCCAGCCTGATTCCAGTGTGATTCCGGCGAAAACGCCAAAGCAGCCACAAACACCTTCCGAAACCTCCTCCCCTCCCTCCCCTTCCCTTCCATTCCCTTCCCTTCCCTCCCCTTCCCTTCCCTCTCTCCCTCCGTCCCTCTCCTGTCTTTCGGCATGTCTTGTTTTGAGGATACCCTTTTTGGGGTAGCAACAGTTGTGTGGTTCCTTTGTTTAGAGGATGCAGCGTTTGCCTCGGTCAGTCCAGTTGCGAGCCGGTATGGGAGGATTGTCTTTGTGAACTTGGTGCTTAAACGGAGGGAAACTAAGAGGAACTAGTACAAGGCGCTGAATAGCTACTCACAATATGTTCCCGGGATTATGACTAAATTTAGCTTGTGGGTGCCCCAACCTCCCATTCTGAACCATCGCAGCTGCAGCGGAAGCCAAGATGGCTGATATGATATTATGTTTATATCATGTGTGGTAGCTGGAATGACTGGCCGAGGTTTGGCAACGATTCAGCCAATATGTTGTGGTGTGGTTGGTTAACCTCAAACCACAAACTGAAAGTGCTGCAACATGACATGGGCTTGACTTGTTTCGCATGCTGGAATCAATGCAGCAATCAATCTGGCGTGATGTTGTCGTTTAAAAAAAACAAAAAAAACAAAACGGTCCATTTGATTGGTTGTAACATTGTACCCCTGCGGCACACCTCCACCATCAGATTTGTTTCTTTGAAGCTGCGACGCCGCAATGACAGAGAGGGGCAAGTTGGGTCTTAACCAGCTGTGAACGGGAGCGGACTACTTTGAAGGCAACTTTCAGAAGATGTCTTCAAATTGACAGACAGCCATCAGACTTTGTTCGAGGGATACGGCGGTTGACTCACTCAACGTCTTGCAGGCAGAGGCGGAGGTTGCAGCTCACCCAGTGCTGCTGGGCCGGGCATCCATGGAGCACAACCAAAAGAAGATCCGTGAGATTTAAGTGCGCGCCAGCGTTTGGAGCCATTTCCTGGTAGATGCTGAGGTAGGAAGCGGTCCCGACCAAAAGATGACGCGGATCTTATGGTTTTGGATTCTTTACCAGGCTTTGACTCAGCATCGAGCGGCAGCCTAATCCAGCCGCGGCATGTGTCAATCTAGCTGCACCCTTTGTTGGTCCGGAGGAACGACAACCTGGCTATGAAACCAACATGAAACCAACCATCCGGATGGGGTCCCTAGTTTTGACACTCCGTTTGAGTCATGTGGACCGCAGGGTCCGTCAAATTATCTCTGTACAGCGGATTCAATATCAGCATTCGACAGAGCTGCCGCAGCGGCTTCAGGTCTGATTGAAGCAAGGAAACGGCAACTCTGCAGAGATTGCGCTGGACTTGAATTTGTGAACCCTCACACTTTTGCAGGTCTCTTACCAAGAGAGAGAGAGAGGCATGTGCCGAATTGGAGAGCCTCTTGCCAGCAACAGTCTTGGCCACTTTCAAAATGAGAACTGCAGATTTAGAAGAAAGAACAGCGATGCCGCGCGTGGGAGCTTTGCCAGAGTTGCGCGGTTGAGTAATGACCATGGAATGTTGCTTGGTGTTTCGAAAACAAGGACCCTAGAAACTGTTGATTTCCTGTTGGTGTCCCTTGAGCTAGCATCCAAGGCTTCCCCGTACTTTTAGGACACCCCCGCCACATGCACATGTGCGTGCGGTTCACGCTGGTTCAGGTATTATACTTCTGTGGGATCTGCGTTTGAGTGACTTGATCCCTGAGGGACGTGAGACCGAGTGAAGCAGCAAGAACATCCGGCAGAGCCTCAGAGCCCAAGCTCTTTGTTCTCTTCCTTTCGCAAAGCTTCGCCCTGGCTCGCTGGCCATTGTAAGGCATTGGCCTAGGAATCCGCCCTGGCTAGAGATGGCTTGTCACTTTGATTGTTTCTTTGTGCGTGTTTGTTTGCTTGTGTGTTGTCTTTCTTGGTTGCTTGTTTGTTTTCTTGCCAGCTTTTTGTAGCTCCCATGCCCCGAATCCCCGCTTCAGAAGATCCAAGCGAAGCGGACAAAGTCCGCCCACCCGCCCCGTGCTGTGATTCACCTCTGATGGGAGGCAAACCTCTGTCCCTCCTTGGTACGTGTATGTATGAGTCGGGCAGTATCGCCTGGCTTTCCTTGATGCTCAAATAACCCAACCATAAACTGTGGAAGAGAATCTGGCAACTATGGTTGCTTATGGCTTGTGTGTTTTGTTTGTTTAATTCTTCATTTGTTTTTTGTTTAGCTTTTCTTTCTTTATTTATTTGATTCTTTGTTTTTGTGTATTCTTTGGTTTCCTTCTTTCTTTATTTTTTTTGTTTATTTTTGTTGGTTTCATTCTTTATTTATTTCTTTCTTTCTTTCTTTCTTTCTTTGTTCCTGCCTTATTTTGTGTTTGTTGTGTTCTGGCGATGTGTATTGGGCGTATCCGGCTCCAGGCGCCGCCGGAGCCCAAAGAACCGTGGCCCCTGCCCGCTTGGCTCGCGGCTTGCGGGGCGGGTCGCTTGGTTGGCTCGTTCGGCCGGGGGCGATTCGCCACTTTCCGGCACTTGACATTCCGTTTGTTTGTTTTTTTTTGGGGGGGGGCCTTATGGTCATGATTTTTGGGTGCTGCCCACTAATTTCAAGGTGTTGCCCATAAGATGCTCCAAGCCATAGTCGTTCAGATTCTTCTTCCTTTCCATACGCAGCGCCAATGACGCCTAGCGTTCTTGAGACAAGCACAATCGTGCCCGGCAGCTCAAAGGCTGCTGCTGTGCATCTCTTTGGGTGTGTGCCTCGTAGCTAACTACCTGCAGGCACATGGTACTTCGTAGCGAACTACAGCAAGTACCAACAGCAAAAACAGCTATACAGGAGTGCAAAGCACTGACGCTCACAGCCCGGTCATTGAAACATAGAAAGGCAAGGAAGCTGCAACGCTCGCTTGCCTCGAAGTTGGCGCAAGGCCTAGTCGATGGCTTCAGAGTAGCTACACTATCTGTCCCCCGACGCGACTGCCAATTGGTTGCCGTGAGTTTCAATCGTTTTGTTTAAGGACTTGGTTGTGCATGGGTTCTGCCAGGCATTGAACAGGACGGACGTCCCTTTGACCAGCTCAAATCTGGAGAAGTGGATCGTGCTGAAACTCAAACGGTCATCCAGATTCTGGCACCAAGTCTGGCTACTGGACGAGTTTTGCCAGTCCTTCTTGAGAAAATGGCCGACCAAAACTGGCCAGGAAGATGGGTTGCACCTTAACTAGGCCCCCGAGTAGTGCCCTTTTACCCCTTTTTTGGGGGAGGGTTCCCCTATTAAGATAGACTACGGACAAAAGGGTACCCTTATTCTAACCTCTCTACTGGAGGATGTAGTTCAGACTGGAAACCAGTTGAGGTGAATTTCCAGACTTCCAGCCAGGCCACCGGAGCTGGAGGCGGCGCCGCCACCAGAGCCTCCCCCGGAGCCAGCTCCCCCACCAGAACCAGCGCCGCCACCGGCGCCTGACAAGGCCTTGGGGACTTTGTCATACATTCAAGGCCATGGCAAGGGGACCTATTGGGGCTGAATAGTGGCTATGAGTGGCTATTACTTGGTGACTGTTAGTGGTTATTAGTGAACATCAGTGGCAATTTAGCGACTACTGAGGGCCACATCCCTTTCTGAATCAGTATTGGACTTTGGCCAGCAATGAAATGAGGCAGAAAGGACGGTAGCCACACCTTGCCTTGTGGTTTCCCGGAGATGGCACACGGCTTACCATCCACTTCACTTCTCTGGTTTAGGAATTTACGCCCGGGTTCCTAGAAGCCCAATGGGAAGGACCCCGTAACGTCAATTGAGGCTGAGGTCACTTGGCTGTGGGTCAAAACCCTGTACCCCTGGTGAACATCAAGATAGGTGGCAAATGGATGTTCATCCACCCCAAAATGGAGCCAGAGGTTCTGCCCCATGGCCACTTCTGTCACAAGTACACGCCTTTTCCAGCTGCGTTCCTTTGCGGCAGTCGTGGCACTGAGAAGAACGGAGGTGAGAGCGGAGTTCGACCAAGTTGGACCGACCTTGGCCATGACCTGATCTTTGCCAGGCTGTCTTTCGAAACTACTTATTAGAAAAACCAGCCCGCGCGCCCCCACCGGGAGAATTTAGGATTTCGTTTGAGATGTTCAATGTATATCAAGCGATTTCCACAACGCATTCTGCGCACTGGGCGCATGTGTGGCGCCGTTTCCGTGACTCGCTAGGCGCCTCCGCCTCCCAAGAGCGAGTGCGAAGGCTCGGGGGAGTGCGTCGACCACCTCCAACTCGGTTCTCCGGTCCAGGTCCTCAAGTTTGCGCCAGTCCCAGGCAGCAGGCGGTCGATGGACTTGCCACGCCCCTCTTTTGGCACCTGGTTGTAGTATGTGTAGAAGTTTTGGCTGGATCTTGGGTCAGCGTTGCGCTCGTGTGCCGAGAGTTGCACGCCAGCCCACTAGAGCTAGTGCTGTTCTTGTTTTTAACCGACCGGTGCGGCGCGAATGAGCCCGTCAGTCAGGCTGCAAGATGCCTTTGGTCAACTCCTCCTCCTCCTCGAGCTCCTCCTCACTTTGTGTGCCCTGCAGGAGCCGAGAATGAGAGCTTGCAGTGTCCAGCCTAGGTCTGATAGAACTCTCCCAGTACGAGCTTGTTGGAGATGGTCCACTCGTTTTTGGGGTCTTCCCTTGCCACGAAAATCAGACAAGTCCTGTCTTTGGGCGGCTCGTAAGGCACGGGCGGCGGAGTACGGAAGTCTGCTGCGAGCGATTTTGCAGCGCAAACTGAGGTGGGGCTGTATAAAACTCCTCCAATTGCAGTTTAGTCGGGGTGGGACTTTTTGGTGGTGAGGTGTCCCAACAACAACCCTTTAAAGATGAGGAGGAACAAACAAGCGCTAACGTTTTGTAGCAACTAGAGTTGCAATCCGCAGCTGGGGCTCCAGCAGTGTACTTTGTTTACTACACTTGTACTGCAGAGTTGTGGTTTTCAGGCGGTGCGGAAGTGTAATTTGTTTGCTATACACTTGTACTGAAAAGGTGTGATTTTTGAGCTGGAGCTGCGGAGTTGTAATTTGTTTTCTACAGTTGTGCTGAAAGTTATGAGAACGAGCTGGAGCTGAGCGAGCTGGTGATGCAGAAGTGCACTCGCGTACTTTACTTGTGCTGCAAAGTTTCGATTCTCGAGTTTGATTTCTTAACACAAATAAAACAAGGTAAAACAACAAGGGGGCAAACCGACAAAATCAAACAAGCAGTAGAGAAAGGATGGAGGTTTTATACATGCTCAGGTGTGGAAAATCCAAACCCGACACAGGAAGCCGTTGGCCAATGATTCAACGCCTCCTGCAGGCCCACCTTCAACTCCGGTGGAAGTGGGTTTCGCCAGATACTCATTTGGCTGTGGTTGTCAAAACCGATGGGATCCCATTTTGGTTGGTAGGTGAACTCACCACCCATTTTAGAACCTATTTTAGTTGGGATTGGGATGTTCACTGGGGGGTACGGGATTTTGACCCATGGCCATTTGTTTGCCGTCGGTTGGCCCGGGCCGCGCGAGGTTCAAAAGTAGCAATCCTTGGCTTCCGCCCAAGAAGCTTATTTGCTGGAGCACGCTTAAGGCGGGCGGGGTTCAGTGCGGCTCACCTACGGTATTCTTTACCGTTAGCACAGGTATTCACAGCCACATGAGCCACAATCACCACAGTCAAAACCTGGGTTAACTTGTAACGGACAGTCCCACCGGTGCAGCCGCCCTGTGATTCGTTGCAGAATTGGTTTTGGGTAGACTCTTTAAATGCCATCTTTCAATGGTCGTCATGGGGCGGCTTGTTGGAATCCTAAGCCAGTATGTGTCCATTAAGTACCCACGCCCCTCCCGTTTGAATAAGGCATAGCATGCGTTAGTTGATCCTACGGGTTGCATTCACGTCACGCGTCAACTCGCTGAAACCCTTGCCCACCTATAGGATATTCACTGAATCGCTGCAAACCTTGCCAAATCGTTCTTCAAGCACTTCCAGGGTTCTGCTGGCCCAACACACACACAGGCAATTACTTTTTCCGGAGTCTTGGATTTTGCAAATTGATTGCTCCTATCTTCAAAGTGTCGGATTCTTCTTGGAGCCTCCCACTTGCCACGATACTTGTAGCTGGCAACCAGGCATCACCATTTTGTACACCGTCGGGCAGAAAAGCATGGTTGGCTACATCATCTTAGTGACGGAAGCGCTGGTTAAGCTTGGCAGGCTGGTGCTCCTAACATCATTAGCCTGCCGGTGATGCCCTACGTGGAGTACAGGAGATGCTTGGGCTTGAGTAACAGAAAAGAGCCCTAAGCGTGGGTCTCCCAATAGAGGATTCCCCAAAGTGAGTTATTTCCTTTGAATTCCCTTCAGAGTACTCCAAAGAGGCTGCTCCCGACACAGACATGCCGGTTCCTTGTTGATGTCTCTATAGAAAAAAGAACAAAACCACTCTCAAATCAAGCAACATAGGGCCCGCTTGGCAAAGATGTAGACTTCCATTGTAAGATGGTTTGCCCTACTCCCAAAGCGACTACCCCCCCACTTATATGAAGGGTTGTATGCTGGTATATGCCCCTTTTCTCTTGGAGTTAGTTTGGGGAGTGCGGAAATCTTAGATCCATGGTGTCCCTCAGGTGTGGCTAAGGGGTGTGCAGCTCCACTCTTTGAATCTGCCAGGACTGGCAGATTGATGCCCGACCATGTGCTGGAGGCAAGCAAATCGACTTTGAGCGGTTTTTGAGGGTGAGATGTTTGGAGACATGTCACAGAAGTGATCAAGAGATGGGTTGCAAAAGAACAACACCTTTGGATGAAGACTGTCAAAGCCGGGTTGTGTGCTTCCGTCTGAAGGCCGACCAACATTGTGTCAGCCTCTTTTGCTACACTGGTGCTTCTGTGCCTTGTAGTGAAATGGGGTGGGTCTCAACCAGGATTGGTGGTTTGAACGACCCAAGGGAAGTGCGCGATTCAGTCCCAAACATGGACAATGCCTGGCCAACCAGGCATTGGAGATCAAACATGTGGGACCACAGATTTGTGGGACATCCACAGCCAGCTATCAGGGCAACAGCCAAAGTTGCGCCACCTGCGTTGCTGTGCTTCTGTTAAAGCCACTGTACACATATTCATTTGGGTTTCGCTGCACGCACGCTGGCTCACGGCTTCCCTTCAAAGGAGGACATATGTTTCCATCTTGGCACCATTCCTTCCAGGGGCTATGGTCTAGCAGAATTCGATTTGGGTTACAGCTTCAACCTAGTGCTTTCCGGCAACTTCTAACTTCTGGGTTGGCCCAAAGGGGGCAATCGCCCGGGGCCAAAGGGGGCATGATTCAGCTCGGTTTCCCCAAGCTTGAGGTTCCCTCGAGATTGTTCAGAGTATTTTTTCTTTACAGGGGACGACTGCTTAGATTTCCCTATATTTGTTTGATTTCCAAGAGATCCTGGGCTCGTTCCCAGCAAACCCTTCTTTCAAATTCCTTTCGGGGATTGTTCCTTGCAGCGGACGCGCAATCCGCTTGGAAGATTTCGCCAGGTGCGGTGCCTGCGAGTGGACGCGCCGGAGTGGCGCTACGAGCTGGTGCACAGCTGGCGCGCGCCTCGGAGCGTTCCTCGTTGGGGAGCCTCGTGTCTGGGGACGGCCGGAGGGATGGCGCCGGGGGAAATGGAGGTGTGGGTGTTTCTTTTTCAGGGTAAGCCAGAGTGGTCACCCAAACACCCTGTCATCACTCCCAGGGTTCCCCCAACTCACTTCTGGTTATCCCAACTCATCGTGGTTCCCCCAACTCACTTTCTCATTCCCCGAGTTCCCGGACTTTGAACTTTATGGAAGACCCATTCTTAGTGGTAAACGAGAAGCTTGGACTTTTTTTGGCCAGACCACTCGGCCAGCGAGATGTTCAGATTCGGCTAAAGTTAAACCAGCAATTTGGGAGTTCCCCGAGTTTGAGACCATGCGTATGGGGGAAAAATAGTAAAAGGAGAATTCAAAGAATTATTCTTTCTACTATTTTTTCTCCAACAGCAACACAACAAACAGAAAACAAAATCCAGAACAACAAGCAAACAAAATAAATAATCACAACCAACAACAAAAATATTTAATCACAGCATACAACATTAAATAATTCAAACAAGCATACCAACAAAACAGCAACACTCTAAATCATCAAAGAACCCAAACTCAAAAACACACATCAACAAAAAACAAAGCAACATACCAACAAAAAATATCATAAGAGTATCAAACAAAACAAAAACAAACAGCCAAAGCACGAAAAAATTGAAGAAGCATGCCAAGTCTAAACACCGCACTTTGAAAGAGATAAGCAAATTATAATAATTCAATCTTTACAAACGATAAATATATTACAATTATAACATATAATATTTTACATGTGATAATCATAGTATGATTATAATTTCAGTACAGGATAATAATTTAATTGATTTGTCTTACTTCTTTCATACATCATTTTAAAAATAATATTAATATCTCTCAATGTATTTTGAACATTAAAATTTTTACTTTCAATAAATAATTTGATATTTTCTTTAACATCTTCTCCTTTCTCTTGACTATAACACAACATCCTTAATATATCATCAATCATACCATATTTTTCTTAGGGATTTTAAGAAACTGTTTAATATAATCGTAAGGTGGTATTTTATTTACAGTTAGAAATATTAAAATCTCATCTTCTACATTTCTATTATGTCTCCCTTTTATTCTCAACAGACATTTGATTAAAACTTGATTATCTCTCCATTCCTGACAAATTTTACATTCATCTTCTTCATCCATTGAATAATTAATAATATTATTCAATATTTTATTAGGTAAATTTAATTTATACAATTCCATATTTTCTTTTTTGAAGTGACAACAATCATAGCATTTTTTATTGATATAATTATTGATTTTATCACCGTTCATTTTCCTCTTATTATATTAAGGCACTATTTCTTTAAGTCATTTTTAAGGCATTAATACAAATTAAGAAACTAACCATAAGTATAGTATAATTATAGCATATAATATTTTACATGTTATTATTATAGTATGATTAATAATTATGGGTTACATTTATAGTCAGGAAAAATGTCTTCAAATATGTAATCTACATATCTATCAATATCGCCAATGTCTATATATTTGATATTGTCTTTTCCTATTATTGAATAAATATATTCCCAGAAAAACAAATTAACTAGTAGCCATACTTGATATTTAGTGTTGTAGTAAGACCATACATGATATTTAGTTATTCTAAATTCATTCAAGACCTCGTTTATTTTATCTTTACTTAATAAATGCCAATCAATCGCATCAAACATGCCTCGATTTTTTTTAACAAATGCTTTATATGGTTTAATTGCGCTTGTCCCTCCAAACCTTTTAATCAAATCTTTATTATTGAAGAACTCATCAATTTCTTTTTCAAATGACTCTCTATCAATTTTATGACAAAAATATACAGGAAATCTTTTGTGATATTTCATAAAGAATTTCAATTTTAATTGAAACTTTGTATATCCCTTATCCTTATATTCTTCAACAAACAACTTGTCAAGGTCTCTTGTTATACAGCATTGATTACAATATGCATCATATTCACTTATTTTATTACACAGATTAGCAGGTAATAAGTTATACAATGTAAAATTAATATCATTCTTTTTATTATTACAACATTCACACTTACTATAATTAAACAGTGTCATTTTTCCTCTTAATATATTAAGTCAATATTTCTTTAAGTCGTTTTCAAAGAATTTATTTTATAATGGCCATAAGCAAGTGAGTTTACACTATCTGTCCAATATTTTTTGTTTTCATAACTACTAAGAGCAATTTTTTTAGTTGTTATACTAAAAATTCTGTGGTTTTTACTTCTAATACTATTAAATGACTTATGTATAACCTCATTAGTTTTTAAAACCGTCTCAAACTCTTCATATTTCATTTGACGTCTTACTGTGCCTTTTGCTATGCCCTTACATTTCTTATATTTTTTATCATCACCATAAACTGAGTAAGCATAGCATTTAGGACGAAGAGCTATAAACCCTGTTATTATTTTACTTTTTAATTCATCCTTAAATTTACCTAATACTTTCTTGTTATTATCATCATAACATTTATGTTCCTTAGGATAATCTGAAAAATCTAATTCTTTTTTAATTGTATTAAGGTCTTCATAAATGTCATTGGTTTTAGTATGAAATACAAAACTATCAGTATCAGTATATACCATTTTAATATTATCTCCATATTTAGGCTTCATAACGTCATAATAAAATTTATACATGTGTTGCTTACTCAAATCTAAAATACTCATCCCAATAAATATAGGTTTGTCTAGTTTCAACTTTGTTTTTTGCTTTTCAACTCCAACCAAATTTTCATTAATGATATGACTATGTTTGAAGTTAGGATTACTTACACACTTCATATATCTAGTTTCATCACTCACAACCTCAAAATCTAAATGTTTCCTTTTATCCTCCATTGTTTTTCCAAATATGGCATTGTTCATCAATTTGTAAACATCTTTCTCAAAATCATTTCTAGCATTCTTCCTCTTCTCAGTGTTAAACTCAATGTAAGGTTTTAAAACTTCTTTTTGTTCAAATTTAATTGCTCTATGAATTTTCTTAAGTTTTAACCCTTGCTTCAAATAAAATTGCAAGGTTCTTATATGGATTACATATTTTTCTTTATCATTTAAATTCAATACTAATTTATTTGTTTTCTCATCCGTAGGTTTTTTATGATTTAAAAATTCATAAATTTCAATTTGTTTATCTGACAGCATGTCGGCTTTAACATTCATAACCTCAGGTGCCATTGGATAGTCATTGTGTAAATCGTGTAATTCTTTAGGATATTCTAAATCCACTTCTAGAATATATCCAATATTATTATTTTTGTAATTAATAATGTCTTCTTCTTTTAATGTATCATCCCATTTTAGATTTTTATATGGCAGTTTTTGTATCATGCTTAACCCGTACAAATTATTAGCATCAAAATAGTTAATATAACTACTTTCTTTATTTTTATCATATTCTTCTCCCATGTATTTATTATTTGCTTCAACTTTTTTAGTAGAAACCATACACATCCCGCCTCTAAGTCCCGCTTCTATCATTTCATACATTTCTTGGTCATATATTAAATCAATCTCTACACCAGTCATTTTAAGCATAGCATCAAAAGCAAAGTTAGGCAATGTATAATAATAAGCAGGGTCCAATCCATAATATTTCATACATACATCTCTAAAGTTTTCGAAAATGTCAGTCAATAATAATACATCAGTTTTCAAATATAAATCATGGTATTCACCCATATTCTTAATGTCGAAATGCTTCCATATAATTTTTGCCCTTTCATAGTCGTTAACACTTATACCTTCTTCACTCAACTGACTATAAAAATCATCCTTACTCGGTAATTGCTCATCATCAAATTTATCAAATGAATTCATGTAGTCATAAGGATAAACACCTTTATCAGTTAATAAATCTAGACATTTCTCACTCTTAATCAAATCATTTTTACTACTAAACCTAAAATTATCTTTCCAGTCTTCACGCAATAACCATTTACTTTTATCTTCTTCATCTGTATTATCATACTTACTCATTGAAACTAACTTATCTAATGAAGCAGTTAAAAACCCGAAAGTGTCTTTAACACTCAAACTTTCAAAACTGATATTAATAAATTTTTCACTGTTCTGAGCGATGACACCTATTTTACTGTTGTTACTTAATTTATCAGCATTTTGAATAATTAAATGACCGTCATAATTTTTCATGTTATGAAAGAATACTGGAATTTTAAAATATCTATTACAAAAATTAAGATTGCAAACATTATGAGCACAACCTCTATACTTACCTGTAAAATGACAATGGTCTCTAACTTTTCTATATTTCTCTGCTTCCTTGGAATTCTTATAGTTCATTCTAAACTTGTTTCGCGAAGCTGACGCATCGCTCAAGCGAAATGCGTCTCCACAAATAAAGCAGTTTTTAGCATTTTTAAAATCTTCTTTGTCTTCATCAGTCATGTCTATTTTTTCGTTTTCTCCCATCTTCTCCTTTACTTCTGCCCTAATGTCATTAAGTTTTTGACAAAACACATCAACAGCATCTTTACCGCGATACATAAATTCATAATTTGTATTATCAACAGCATTAACCATATTAAGCATAAAACCACATGGCTTATGCTCTTGATAAGAAAAAGTGTTTTTATCTTCATCTTCATCAGGTTTTTTCAGTTCCTCTGTCAAACATTCAAAATCAGCATATACAACAAAAGGACATCTTAACTTTTTGAAGTGATGCTTAAAACTCACTTTCTCATAAGGCTTAGGCATTACTATTTGTTGTCCTTCAACTTCCATGCATCCACTATCATAATGTTTATTTAATAATTCTTCATTTCTAAATCCATGATTACAATATTTACAAAAATAGGACTTACCATTATGATTACTTTTTTGATTATTAATAAGTCTGCTCAAACTTTTTATATACACATAATGACTGCAATCCTCATCATCAACTCTTAA